TTCGCAGTAACTTTGCATTATTTTTAGAATTATTATATTTTGGTCCACCATACACTATAGCAATTACAGGATATCATCTAAAAGCTGGCACTTTACCCATGGTAGTATTTTTTATAAGATAGGTAAATTCAAGTGCATTGAAACAAATGTTTGCAGTTCGTGTTCAGTTTTATTCCTAGTAAAATTTTATACATATGCTAGAATAAATATGTTTTTATCATCAGAAAGGTTAACATAACACCAAATTACATTCGTCATAATATTAATGATAGATTTATTTTTTGAATTTGTCATTCAGTGGACTACTTAGTATTACTGGATAATAGATGAACCTGTTAACCTTAAATAGTTAATTAGATGGACCCTGAAAGTAATGTCCAACTAAACAGCCTACATAGCAAACAAAAATCTTATTATTTAATTCATTGGATTCAAGTCTAAATTTTACTCAATTTCATCATATATCACTTAAAGATCTTGACGTTATATAGGATATATCGGTAGATAAGTTACTTCATATTTTTAAGACTTCAAAACGGCACTACAAATTTGTCTTAAAAAGCTAAGTGGTTCAAATGATTCTGAACAAAATGGAAGAAGCTTTCGCTTAACAGGTTTCTGCTTCTAGTAGCAGTGGATCACCGATGCCTTCAGATAGGAAACTAGGTATATTAACGATATGAGAGGAAAAAACAAAAAAGTTGGTAAACCCTTACTCCTTAGGAATACGTCAAGTTTTCTCTTAAAGGACTCCAGGGAGGTCGCTCAAACTAGCTCAGACGGCAACGAATTCCAGCATTTAAGGAGCAGAAGATGTGTCTACAGTCCGTTCTGCTTTGTTGTGTCTCCAGTTGCTGGGTGTTACTTCTAAGGTTTGTTTCGGGACTAAGCTTAAGGAAATGTCTTGTGGGGATGACCAGAAGTGTTAATGGAAGCTGTAAGTTGTAGCGTGGTATTGCGTCGCGGTTGACTATGATCACCACTACAAGAAGACTACGTGCCAGTTAACCAATAAGATCTCCGTAGACCAATATCAGAAGGCAGATGATGACTTTAGTCGAGGTGTATTTGTTGGCGATCTCGTGGTGTCGAAAGAATACCGAGATCGTGCCAAAGGAGTACACGCGCATTCACCGAGCAAACTTAAGCGCGTACAAGGTCACAATCAACGGAAGGAAGAATGTCTTTGGTACAGTTAAACAAAAGAGTACAGTAAGACAATCACTGGTACAATTCGTTGTAGTAGTGATTGTTTTCATTACACCAATCGCGTTCTGTTGATAAAAGAAGTCACTACAAAGTCATAAGAACGTCGCCTCTAAGACGCCTGTACTCTAATGAGTAAAGGTTCAGTATTTGGAGACGCTCTTCATAAGGCATAAATTTGAGTCCCCGGACTGGTTTCGTGGCTATCTGTTGGATACTTTCCAGAGTGTCCTTATCCTTTTGGAATAAGAGAGGAAATACCATGCTTCCGTAATCTAAATGGGAACGAATAAAGCTGTTGGAGATTATGTGGAAAGTTCTCCCGTCGAACTAGCCGAAAATGTGCTTCATTGTTACCAGTGAAAGGTTTTCTCGAAAAAAAGTTTGGTCACAGTTAGCGTAAGACTTCAAATCGTAGAGTACCAGAACTCCTAAATCTTTTCAACTTAGGATACTTCTATAGGGGAGCTGCCTAATTTGTAGCTGTAGTCTGCAACATGTCTCAGATAGACTACTTCAAACTTTGAAGTGTTAAGGGTAATTCCGTTGTCATTTGTCCAACTTTGAATTCGAGTCAGATCCTCCTGGAGTGCCACTTCATTCTCTTGATTGTGTATCTCTTTCTCCAAAGTTTCACACTAGCAGCAAAAGTAAAAACTTAGACGATACTTGCTGCGGAAGATCGTTTAAATAAATCAAGTAAATAAGGGGTCTTAGCACTGAACTCTGGGAGACCCCACTAAGATATTCCATAACCTGATGGAAATAGAATTTAACCCTGTCCTTGAAATGTCTATTTTTTAGATATGAAGTAAGTTGATCAATTAATGGTGATGTGATACCTAATCGTTTGAGCTTATTGATATGGCATATATGATTGACCCTACAGAAAGCGTTTGGGAAGTCAAGGTATATAACACCAAACTTACCCTTACGATCAAAGATGGTTATCCATCTGTCCACCTCAGTCAACTGGTTGGTAACACAAAAGCGACTTTTCCTCAAACCGTTCTGTCGGGCTGGAAAGACGTTTACGGATAGTAAATAATTGTGTAGAACTTCTCATATCAGGAACTCCATAATCTTGGAGGGGATCGAGAGAAGTTCTACCTGTCGGTAGCTTGAAGGTTCACTGCATCGATAAGCTTTACCTGGTGCTGAGGTCTGTCTTCTCTTATTGCCTTTGTGCATATATTTCTTACTTGTTTGATTTGCCTGTATGCGCTGTTATTACCAGTTCGTTTGTATTCTGCCCAACAGTGCATCTTGCGGCTTAGCAAACGAAGAGTGTGATTATTGGCGACTGTAGGTTGCTTGCAGATTTTGAGGACCATTAGAGTAACAGACTGTTTTGTAGTACATAAGAAAGTGTGCAGTAGGAAATCCCAATGAGCATCCACAACAAGTTGTGGGTGAACTTCTCAGTTCACGTACTGTATATTGCTTGAAAGTTAAGTGCTTGTCGTCGGTAGAATGTCTTAACTCAGTTTGATTGAGCTATCGCTTTTCTCCAGGAAAGCCTTGATTGACAGATTGTCAGTTAAGAATTCTTCGTTTGTAAATACGTAGTCTTAGAGTGATGGTGCTTGACTGCTTCTCCAATGAGTTTCTGACTTAACATTTTCCAATAACCCCAGGTCTTCAGTGAGGTTGAAGAACCGTCTATTTTGTAATGGTGCTGATCTTCTGCATGTATGTTACGTCGGTATTAACGTTGTCGAGGTCAATCTTCTTTTCTTCATTGCGCGCTAGGATGAATGCACATCAAGATGAACAGACCAAAATGGGATTAAACACGTACTTAGTGTTCCACTTTTAGGCACGATTCAACGTTGACAAAACTTATAACCAAAGAAAATCCATAAATGTCAGTATAGATTGTAAAGTTGCAGTCCTCAATACCAACAACGTGAAAATGCTGACTGGTAAAATTATGTTTATCTGCAGAACTAAGTTTTATAACTGTACAGCATACTCCAAGAACAAATCATGACCTTCCTGATAACTTCTTACGTGTTGTTGCAACTGAACTATAAACACAGTTTTCTTCTCTTTCTACCATAGTACATGCGATATTTCCGGTTGACAATGTTTTGAATCTCCTGCTAATTGTCCTCATATTCTGCTAACCGCATTGTATTGGTGTAAATGTTAGCTATATTTGTTGGTACTGTGACTTGTAAATAATAATAGCCTAAAATTGAACCTCACTTTCCCGAATTTTCGAAGAAGACATACGCTTTCACTTTAATCAAATGTCAAAAATACCGTTGATCAAACGGCATTCTGCTACACGTTTATTAGCAAAAGAGAAATATGCATTCTGGATATGACGTTTTAGTCACGGAGTACTGGGACAAGCTAAAATATTTGGCTCCTGGATCTACTTGAAATGCTACATGTTTTTGGCAGTTAAACAACTTGGAAAGGCTCTCTCCGTTACTATTATCAGCTCAGTGTATATCAAATGAGTGAAATAGTAAACATCTAAATAACTATACTGAGACTATTTACAGTAAATGGTTTTTAGTTGTCACAGGCTTCTGTGCTTTCTGGAACATCAACGGTGCCGTCATTTGTCATTAACTCTAACCTTTAGATTGACATATGGTGTGTGCTACTGATGTCGATAGATATAAGTAGTGCGTGTCGTCAATCGAAAGTGAAATACCTGGAGGCAGAAGGTTGAAAAAATCGAAGAAAAAAGAACGAAAATAAAGAATGGTTGGTGTGGAAACGAAGAGACAATGAAGTGTTGGACGATTAACCGGTATTTCGCAGATGGAGTATTTACTGTATGGTTCTCAGATTTTCCTATGAGATTTTGTGATGTTGTGTTCAAATACATTCCATTGTCCTTGCTTGTGTTTATATTCACCACAAACATACGATGTTTATTAACTGAATGGTTATTAAGTGATCAGTGAAATCGAAATTCGACTATGAATCTACACATTAAAAGTGAGGTTTACTTTATTCCAAAACGCCTGGAGGCAACCATCATTAGGCGATTCCGGACGCTCCATCCTATCCCCACACCTGATCTTATTGTCATTTCAAGGTCTATCAAGTATTCTGGGTCCTCGAACTCTGTTATATGCTGACGAAATTCGTGTAAATAAACTAATACAAGAACCTTCAGATATGTTGTCTGTACAAGACAGCTTGAATATGACAGATGATTAGGCAATCAGGGACTGTCTCCCTGATAATAACAGTATAAAGAGAACAGAGATGTTAAAAAGAATTAATGCATCTGCCTCATGCTACCTGAGTGATTCCAGTCTACAATTTAATATAAGAAGGCTTGAGTGTTATTTCATGAGATGCCGAGCGTCGAACATATTGTTTCATGATGAACAAATTACGAGCCGATTACCTCTAGGTGGTACGGTTTATCCCTTAATTCAATTTCCTTTTAAGCTGTTCTTTCTATAAATCGTATAATGAATCTACTCTCAGTGAATGAGTATGTCTTATCGGCTGCAGAATATCGATGAAAATAAATACCTAGAGAATCAGACTAGGTAGATATTTCAGAATACATTACTAATCCACATAACCAAAGTGGGCTTATATTTTACTACCACTCCAAATTAAAATAGTATCAAACTCTCAAAGTTCTCTTTTATTCATATAATCTTATCTTTTGTCCCCAAACTTTTCTTGAAAAATGTTTAAAAAGGTTTGTATTCTTAAAATAAGAACGACTGATACGTTTTAAGGGTGCCCAAAAAGTTTATAGTCTTGACTTTTCAGGATACTACGCTGTTTGTTTACATCAGTACGGTACCCATATTGTTGGCAGTAAGTGGAAGTGCGCCGTATTTGATGATGGTTTTGAGACGAGGGGAGTCTACAAGCCGTGGTTGGCGTTCTAAAAGCAATCATCGTTGTTGCTTCAATTCCCTGTTTAGAAACAAGGAAACTAGATATATATCGGATTCTGTTTGTTCCACTTCTTCCTCATCAGCTGGTCATCGAAAACGGTCCAGCACATCTGAAAAAGCATCATCTGGTTATGGTTGTTCAGACCCTAAGAGACGTCGTGTTTCAGAACGTAGTAAAAGGTACACATATAAACTTTTGATTTTGAATAGCCTTGTTTTTATTTCTTTCGTGTCACTGAGTCTGTGATTGTTTTTATCCCCGTTGGTTCAGGCGGAATCATAGTTCCCATGTATCACTTCCTAATTTCAATCATACAACGAGCACCTGTAAGGCAGTACGTATCTCTGGTGATAAGGGCCGTCCTCGAGACCGTTCTAACAGTTCCTCCTGCAGTGGCATCGCTCCTAGTCATGCTACCAAACCTCCGCCTCACCATCCAACTAAGCGAGAACGGCAGCGTAGTCCAAGTATCGAAGTCCATGATGGGCATTCAATGCGTGTTCACTTACATAATGGGCAATTTCCTGGTTCTCCGAGACTCCCTGACAGAGATGACAAGCAAATAGCACGTCGGAAGAGAGAAGAAAAGCGTCGCGATGAAAAGGCACGAAGAAAAGCTAGTCATGAGCACCACAAACGCAAACCATCTGCTATTGTACCGGTCGGTGACATTATCAAGCGACGCTTTCGAGTGGAGAAGATACTAGGAGAGGGTAGCTATGGGCAAGTTTTTGAATGTTTTGACTTGTACACAAATTCGTTGACTGCTGTCAAGGCTCTTAAACCTCAGAGTGATTATAGTGAAGCTGCGCGTCATGAGGTTAATGTTTTAGAAACCATTGCAAGATTAGATGCCAAAGATCGATCCCATTGCATATCATCTATAGATTTCTTTGAATGGCATGAACACTTCTATATTGTATTTCCTCTACTTGGTCCAAGTGTTTTTACATTTCTTGAAAAAAATGACTATGAACCGTACACCATTGAACAATGTGCAATAATTGTCCGACAGTTGTGTGAGGCTGTTGCCTTTTTGCATCGAAATAAGCTCACACACACAGATTTGAAACCTGAGAATATTTTATTTGTTGATGGTACTTACGACGAAGTTTATGTTAACCATCGTGGCAGGACAGTACGACGAATCCGTAATCCATCCATAAAGCTTATAGACTTTGGATCAGCCACTTTCGATGAAGATCACCACTCGACTACCATACAGACGCGGCACTATCGTGCTCCTGAAGTTGTTATGGAGCTTGGATGGGATCGGTCTGCTGATGTATGGTCTATAGGATGTATTTTGTATGAATTGGTGACAGGACAATGTTTGTTCATGACACATGATAACCTTGAGCACCTAGCTATGATGGAACGTTTACTAGGGACTCTCCCAAAATGTATGACAAAGGTATCCCGTCGACGACGATATTTCCGCCATGGTCGGTTAGATTGGTCTCCTGCTTCTTCGGAGTCTCGTTATGTTAGGCGAGTTCTAAAACCTCTTGGTGACTACTGGTTTTCTAACTCTGACCTTTACAAGCGCCTGGCTTTCGATCTTGTAAAAGAGATGTTGGTGTACATTCCGTCAGAACGAATTACCTGTTCCAGAGCATTAGAGCATCCTTTTATTCTTTCGTTTCATAGTTAAAATTATTCACTACCCCTGTACACTATTTCCCCTGACTATGATTATCATTGTTATTTTTGTGAATATTTGTTTTCTTTGCAATGGATACATATGTCGGCCGTCGGTAGCACAACAGGTTTTTCTTACTTCGTTAAGGTTTGAAAGACTTATTTTCGTATTTTTCTAAAATTTGATAGCAGAGAGAATAACAACAATCATCTCTTGAAAACGTCTTTATTTATTTGGTTCCCGACCTTCACTTTTACACTAATCTAGACTTTCTAAAAGTCCATAAAAATTAGAGCTAAAAATTTTGTTTAGCTTCATTTCACTGCTACCCGTGTCTGTTCCATGGAGTAGCTTCAGAACTGTCTTCACCCTGTAAAATAAGTTAAATCAGGCGAAGAACTACCTCTTATTTCTGTTCCTCATACGATGAGTGGGTATTGTACTCAAAAAATCCTTCAGAGTTAATGCTCTTTCAGTAATTTTCTCCGGGAGTCCTGTAGCATTCGCTGTACTAATTGCTTCGCTTCTTAAGTTCAAACCATTGACTGCTTCATAAAGACACACCACTCTTCCTTCGTGAGGGACTGTCCTCATTGTCTTATGTTAAGAGCATCAAAATGTTTCTCAAGCTGAAAACTTACCAAGTATTGCACTTGCGGTCCATACATTTGGAGTTGCCTTAGTATTTTATGGTTGTGAGTAGCTATGATAGTATATGGACATTCATTTTTCAGCAATAGGAATTCTGCCATTGCTATTGTAAGCGCATCTAACTCTAACTGAAACGATGAAAATTTGGTTATAGTAGTATAACGTGTTTAAGGTACTGAACAGTAATTATATCATGGTAAATGGATTTGTTGCACATGGTTCTATGGGTCGTCTTACGCTATGCTCTTGTCAAACACTGGGAATACTTATTCCTATTCACTATATATATATATACATATATATATATATATAGCATTTTGGGGATTTGCTGGCATCCCGTTTGTTAGGTATTGTAGTCATGTTTCTTGATTTATGAGAGTTTGGTAATAATAGGACTCACATGCATCGATGTAAACATTTGTATGGCGTCTTAACTACACCATAACCAAATTCACAAACATGTATTAGTAGTTTTATCAAACTTTAGTCAAACAATTCCTCTGTCTTTCTCTAACTCATCATCCTGTAGTAGTTTCTAGGTGTTAGACTTACCTTGTTTACGGACTTTGCAAACTCGTCCATTATTATTAAAGTTTTGCTTGTTAAGTTTCTTAAAGCAACTGAGGCCATTTGAAGTGCCATCATATAGGTCGAACAGTTATCTCTTTCAGTAGAGTTTGTACCTGTGAGTATATGTATTGCATCAAACGCAGAAATTGTTGCCCCTTCAGCCGGAATATAGCTTCCTATATGCGTTAAGTAAATTATTAAGGCAATCTACAAATAAACAAAAAAGCGTTAACATACTAGGCAAGTATATTTTTATGCCCATACATTTGCTAGCAATGTACTTTACCTCGGTAAATAAGTGCTATAGTCCTAACTAGGATTGATACACAAAACGTCTTATTTGATACTCCAACGCGTATTGCAATGAGTCACGTTTGTGGTCGCGTCACAAAATTTCGGGATATTTTGGTCCAGAACTGTCTTTAATTTAGTTGCTTTTAAATGATTTATTCGAAGCATAGAAAGTTCGGAGATAAACTACAATTACACCGTCGGTTCATGTCTGTAACTGTAAGGGGACATCCAAATCCTGTACAATCATCACCGAGCAATAAAGATTTCAGTAGCGTATCATTTAGCATGAATGAAGTTCGTTTAATATCAATAAGTGACCCAATCGAGCACCAAGTACCACGAGGGATTTCTCATAGAGTTGCTAAAACTGCATCATTTAACTATTGCTTCGTGAACAGAGTTCACTTTGCTCATCATTTATAACGAGTTTTGTCTCATGAATCACTAAAAATAATTTTGGCACACCTCCGGGACCCTATATCTTTCAGTACGCCGAAATGCAGTCAGCATTCCTAATTCAACTTGCTATTTTCAGTGGTATAGTCTACGTTTCAGGAATGTAATCAAGGTCCATAGTCACTCGTAGATTTACTTACATTTTTCATGTAGATGCTTTTCCCACTTCCGTTCGGTCCAGTCAGCAGTGTTATGTTATGCTTAGATCCATCAGAGTAGAATGAGTTTTTAATTATGTTAGTAGATACTGTTTGTTGGATAGGATACCATCCTTTATAAATTTGTATACAGTTCTCGTCCACTATTTTCGGTCGAGTCCATTCCATATGCTTGGCAGCCATGGCGAAGGCGCATAAACTAAAATAGGAACGTAATACAAGTGGTACTACAACTTCAAGGATTAAGGATAATTCACCTTCAGTTATTTATTTAAATAATAAGAGCTCTGCTAGTATAAGTAGTTTTTGTAATCATTTGTTAGTACATCAATTTACGAGGTTACCGCTACTTTTGCTGTTTGTTTATTATTGTAATCCTCATGCTTTGCTAGACTGGAAAGAATACCCTCAAATGGTCTGGTCCCTACTGATTTTGTATTTCTAAGGTACTCATCCTAAATAGTTCATTTTGTTGATTACATAAATCACCTTAGTGGTTACGGCTATCTCCGGCAAAAATGTTATGCTTTGTGGTTTTACAGAATTTACTATTTAAGTTGTGCTTTCCTATATATGTTGATCATTTAGCCGGGAAAGTTTCGAAATTATATTTATGAAGTAAGTTAAGTGTTCATTTCTTGTGCACTAATTAATTAGCAACTTACCAATCTATCTCCGCAACAAATTGGTATGCCTGAAGTATACTCTGTGTGTGAATTAGTAAGCGATCTTGAAGATGATGCATGATGGTGGTTTCCGCATCTAGAAGTTTAATAAATAGAATTTGCTAAAGATTTATCTAGTTAAGTAAGTGGTAATTATGTCTATGGTTGTTTCAATATCGTGGTCACATTCCCATTTGTTAATAAAATGGGTCAAAGTAAGATAGCGAATAATTGGTACACCTTTAGTTGACACTTAGTGACTGCGGTCCAACTAAATTCACTGCATATTAACAAATCGTGTATAATGTCATGTCTTTCCTTTTGATTTAGTTTGAAACCGAATGACTTAAGCGTTCTGAAAACCGTCCTTACACAATCACATCACTCCTCGAATGCAGCTGACGTGGTTTTGGTGAGCACACTTGTGTAGAACTACGTTTCTGCGCCATCCACTTATATTAGGGAGAGCCATCTTAGTTTATTGTTTTCAAACTTGTGTTTAGTTAAAGACAGAGATAGATAGTAGTTAGCAGTGGGTTCCTTCGTCCTACTTCAGACTCTTTACTTGGGCACACCTGCATCCAAGGGCTAATGTTCACTCCGGGTCTCAGGCCCAGTGCAGTTTGCTTCAAACGTCATCGCGTCGTCTATCTTGCCATTGAGTCCAGATAGTCACTCGATTTTGCAATGCAGTGAGGTTTAGTTCACCTTGTATTGATTATTTGGGTCTTCCTGTTGATGCTTAGGACTGCAATTGATCAGTCCCTTAGTATATGTGCATTCTGTGAGGATTTCCTTGATATTTCTTCAAGTCACAAGCATTATTTCCAGAGATGGACGGTGCTACTGACCACCAAAATGCACTTTCAAAGGCATGATCCCATTCATTTTGCTTTACTAGATAGTCATATTAGGTTTTACTAATAAAAATTACACCGGGATAGTGCCGTACTAGTAATAGACTTTTCTACGCCAGTGGGTGATTAATACTCGCAATCATCAGGTCCCTTTCAATGTTCTAACTTAGCAGCGATGTACTTAGGTTCGGACGGTCAGCAACTCATTTGATAATTATAGTTAATTAGAATGACGATGCATTTACAAAATGGGTTCTTATAACCAAAACTAGGTGAACTAATAGCATATTAAACTGGTTGTAGAAATGCCTAAGGGTTAAACCAAATAGCAGTTGCAATGGCTAGCATGTCGCGCTACATCAGGACATTTTTAGTGCTAAAGCGCCTTGTTTCCATTAAGTATGAATGAGGTCATTTCAAGTGCTAAACAGTCCTACAGATATCGCTTGTGTTATGCTGATAGACGGTGTGATCAAATAAACTATCATCGGTCCCGAGTAGAGTCCTTCCTCAATTTGCAATGTTCGTTTGAAGCACAAGGTTAATTTAAACATGTGTGTCTGCCACTATCTGGTAAATCGAGTAAGTATTTCAGGAAGAGCTTGTTATTTACTAGGACTATGCAGAAGTCTTTATTCTAGGGCTTTCTGTAAGATATGGACAAGAAATGTCGGTAAACATGAACATCTTCACAGCCAGCATCCCAAAAGTTAGTCCGTCATAATGGACAATATGTTAGTAGTAGGTTAGAGTTTTATTAATGTGCTAACAATGGGCCTCACCTATTAATGGGTTAAATTAACCCTTATGTCAAGTTAACTCAAACATAATCAGATGTACTGTAGGCTGAATCTCGGGAATTGTCAATTTTAATCCCACACAACTAGCACGTAACTTACCAACTGGGAAATCCTAGAGCTAACTGGTAAGAAACGATTGATTTGTAGACTAGCAACTCACGAGGTACCTATGGCTCGATAGCATTGCACACAGGTAAACCCGACCACAAACGAATTACCGGCTATGCTCTGAGTGTTCGTCAGTCAAGATTATTTATGCTCCTAAGTTGGGGTACGTTGATTGATATGTCAATTTAAATCGAGTTGGTACAACTGCGCCTCAGCCCCATATTTAATGAGTTTGTCGCCTTATCTATGCGGACACCTCTTCAAAAGAGTGTACATGCTTTCTAATGTATTAAATCTGCAGTAATGGACTCATTTTTGTCGCCTCACCGCGTTTGCTCATCAACTAAGTTCTCGAGAGTGAATCAAGAACGAGTAATTACGGTCTAATACGCTCCAGGTGTTTCTATATGGCAGTAATGGTTGAGTTTTACTCGACCTGGTTTGTGAAGTTTATCTATATCCTAAGTTTAGTCGAGTGTTGTCCGTAGTATTCATGTTACACCACGAAGTGGCTTGGTACTTTCGTGTCATCAAAGAGCCACGGCATGCACAGCAGCTACCAAAATATTAGCTAATGAACAACCACTGGGTTAAGCCTCGGTTACGTTCCTTTCAAGTGCTCTTGAGTTCTTGGATTAATTCGTCCATACACCAAAATGTCTCAAGAAGCGGAAGCCATGACTTTGTCATTATGTAGTCTTCAAACTCTTCATTACTTTGCTGATATAAAGAACCAATACTATTCATTCATGAATTTTGATTGTGTTTAAATTATATGGCTTTTCGCACTTACCAACAATGGCATACATTACATCACCGTAGCGTTGATCCAGAACTGAAACAAAAAATTAATTCCATGAAATACCACAGTACTTACCGCGTGTGGTTTTGTTTCGGTAGTATGCCATCTCATTATCTGTAAACTGATCAAAACAGTTGAAGTTCTGTGTTATTATATAACGAATATACAGAGATCTTATTCAGTAAGAATATCACCAAGCCTTAACATTTCGATTTCAAACTTAATTTATTTCCACATTATCTGTGTAGCGGATTCAGTTGATAGCTCGTAGTAGTAGGTCTTTTTCAGAATGACTGGTTGTTGAGTCTTAGTTTTTTCTAACTCTTAAACATTCTATTACTATCCTACCATACTCCCTACTTAGAGCTGTCAGAACTTCTAAGGATGTCAACAGTGAAGTTTAAGAAATACAGAATCTCGACAGTTGTGTGAATCGCTTTTGTAGAAAATCATGCTCAATTTAATCGACCAGCTTGTTGTCTACCGAAATTACAGACATGAGTTCATTTAATATTTGAGCCCTTTTGCTACTAATGCATCAAACGCTATATTCAAAGTTGAAAAACCGATAAATGTGCATTTTATCAGTTACGTTAGTAGCATAAACATGACTTACAGCAAATTCCAGCCCGCTCAAATGTATATCGGGGGTTTCTACTTCTTCTTTTGGGATTTTCAACAAATAACCCACCTGGATAGATCAAAGAAAGTTAACTTTAATGGTTTCTGTTTAAGTGTCAAAATATAATGATAACCGGCTGATTACTTACTAAAGGAAAGTAAATTAGTCCACACGTTCGTATATTTTCTCGTAATTTCCGAAGTTCATCTTCTGCCAGTTGTGATAGCAAGTCTGGAAGACAAGCATATGTTTCATTCCCTAAACATCAAATAAAATATATCACTGATGCTGATGTAGAGAGATGGCATTAATATGATTATTGTCAAATAACTTATTACATTAACATAAGTGCGACACACCCATCGTCCATGTCTGGCAATTAATTTATTTAAACTTCTAGTACTTCATAATCTACCCTGGTATGTAGTAGTTGTTAGCGTTCATTTATATTAGTCGAGTTACACTTAGTTTATAACTTCAGACCAGGTATGTACATATAATATTCAAAATTGTGGATAAACTGTATAATAATGTTGTCCAGCCTAACAGTGAGTACTTTTACACTTCACTTTTTAAGGTTACAATCGAGTTTCACTAAAAGTACATATTAGTGTGAACTCGATCACTGTTCTTTATTGACAGATACGTTTTTTACTAATTCTTACATTTGCTGAATCAGATTATTGTGTTGTAAAAGTAAATCTAAATCGATATACCATTATTTTCCGAAGTGTTAGTGATAGTCAATTTCAGATTTTTTCAGTAGCATTCCTTTTGTAGGAACTCTTGGTTTTTCGATATGATATCTCCAACACCTTAATAACTGTAATGTAGATTTATTCAGTGAATCCGTATTTAGTAGATATAGATCACCACTTACATTTGTCCAAAGTAGCGTCAACTCCACGTCGAACCACAAACCTTTGTTCCTTTTCCGTCTTCTCCGTGTCAATTACATGAACTAGCCATGATTTGACGCCTCCTATGATTGCTGAGTCGAAGTTTGCTGCAAACAATTCTTGAACAGGATATAGTTTTTCACAATATGGTTTACACATAGTGATAAGTGCTTCGATTGCATCTAAAGTCTTTGACTCGTCATTACTTTCCACAATATTTATCTTACATGTATTATTATCCTCCAGTCACTTGGTATAGCTGAAGATGTTTGCATTCTGAGAATAATTTTCTGAAAATGGATTTTTATTTTATGGGTTGAAAAGTGGATTATAAATTTAAATTTGCTTGGTATTCTAATATAATTTGTAGATGTTCTTACTACTTGCTGTTTTTGAAGGTGAGCCTAGTAAATGGCAGATCTCATATGTCAGACCGCGAGTTAAAATTTATGACCTACATAATAGTTCGACGATAATACATAAAGTTTTTTTCGATCCCTTGTTATGGTGTGTTTGATTTGTGGATAGTCGAGATAGCAGACTAATGTTATCAGGATTTTGGACGAAGACAATTAGTTCATTTCGTACAAAGTCAATCAAATGTTAAAGCGAAGTCTGTTGATTTTACTAACAATATCCTAGATATACTTGTCTGTGTGCACTGTCTGTAGATGTTTCTATCCTGTTGTCGGACCCTAGTAGTCCGAATGAAATTCAGTGGTTTGACCCAATTTATAGCGGTTGTGTTTTATAACCGTCAAGTGATCTTTCAATATTTCTCCACTGAAAAACTGTGCGTGTAGTATGCTTACTTTGCGTACCCCTGTGCGTGCTAGCATTCCAGATTATTAGCTGGTACGTAATTTATAAAATACCATCATGAAGTCTCACAACTTTTTTTTGACTAAAAATATTTTCATACGGAAACACCAACATTGCAGATTTCTTCAAGAATACAACGTCATGGTACTCAAAAATACCTGTATATTTCCAACCTTCTTGAGTAGTGTTCTTATTTCTGAAAGCAACTGGGTTCCCTTTCCTCCCAGAAAAAATTCCACTGCATCCAATCTTCCTGTTATTACCTCTTTGCTGCTTATAGGCGAACCCATCCATTTCTGTAGTTCTGTGGTACCTTGGATTGTTAGGCAGTGATTTATTATTTCTAGGACTATATAAGCTTCAACTTACTGAATAATGTTGGGCTGATATTTGCCTCAGAAGGAAGTATTCCTTTGTTTACTCTATATGTTTCATGAAAGTCGATAATTTGTAGATACTTCATCGCGGACTTGTCGACGAATAGGATATCTTGTCTATGTGTATTTACCATAAATGGCTACTACGACTACCTTTGTAATAACTGTACATCAACGATATTCAATACATTCTGATTAAATGTTAAACGTAAATCGTCCGCGTTCCGAGTCAGTTTGTACAACAAGCCACCCAGGGCTCTAAACTGTTTCAAAGTCGAATCGATTTTAGTAAATTACTACTAATTTTGAATTAGCTGGAAACAGAGACTTTATGAAAGTTTTTCTTCCAAAATCGTCAAGTGTGTTTGGCATAAAAGAAATGCTCATCATTTGGTGAGAGTCCAACAAAAATTGTTCACCTTAAGGCAAAATTAAGGTTGAATTCAAGATTACTGTAGTAAGACTGAGGAATTGTTTCGGTATGTAGTTCAGAAGCGATAATGAATTTATCCGTTCCTGTTATAAATCAGTGATACATTATTTACCTACCCACAATCAAAGATATGAATTTAAGACTGGATTCTGTGGTCAGAATAAGTGTTTGATCATTTCGGAATAAAACTGGAAGATAAAAACCTCATATATTACTTTGTTTTAACCACTTATCTTCCAGAATAAATGATGAATCTGGCATGTATTGCAAGATGTGCGTATATGTGTTCCAGAAAACCAACCCTATCTTTCCTTGTGCAATGCATACTGATAAGTATTGCTAAACACTTCACTAGCTTATGGAAATGCCGTTACTTGCGGTTCAAAACTTAACATCGGAAATAGGTTTGGTGTTTGTTTGTCCCACCGTTTCTTACTATACGGTACGTGCTGTGTCCAATTGAAATTCTACAAACCTTCGATAATAACACTGACAAAATTTTTGCTTGCCTCAATTGAAATTCAACAACAGTTAGTAGAAGCTAATGAGCATGTGAAATATGTTTATGAATGTAGTACAAATTACTTATCAATCAAAGTCTCACTGGGATGACAGTCTGTTTTGATCCCCTCAGAATATGTAGACTTTCGCTTATTTTAGTACTGCAATCAATTTTTAATGCAAACAAATTTCCCATCTATAATAACTTTTGCTCTGCTTTTCAGAGATGATATTCGTCACATGATTGCTCAAAAATCCCTGCCTTCATTATGGGGCACCATAACTGTTTTGTTTGAAAATCCTTTAGGTCCTAGGGAAGATTTGAAATGAAGCTCCTGGTTATATGTCGCAAGGTTCTGTGCTACGGAATTGAACTATTATTTTTACGTTAAGTTTCCCTTCCTTTAACCGAGCTTCGTACTGACGCGAACACTGAAATGGCTTTAGGAGGAAATATAGATGAAATAAGGTGAAACAATTTAACGGAATAAATGACCCCATCAACATTTTCCATCATATACTAGTTCTTGATGAAAGATTGAAAAGATCACGAATATCCGAATCAAAGACATAATCAATCACAGCACAATAGAAATATGAAACTTAGTGCTTCGATGATTAGATGTAACTCATTTTTTGGCAGACTGCTTCAAACAACATCACTGTAAAAAGTATATACCGATGCTTATTCCAAGCTCCCCCGATTAATGTTCAGGAGAACATTTCCTGCAGCATTCAAATTCCTAGAGAGGATTTTTGTTTGAAAATTGTGAATAGCGATGACAGGAATCAGTGAGCTTAACTCCGAATTTTACTAAGCAAAAGGATTAGTATCTCCAGCAATTTTGGAATTGTAAATTTAGTGTAGACTGCAACAAGAACAAGTCCTTTGAAATGAAATAAGGTTGGTGGCTGCAGGACTAGATGTTTCCGAATAAGCTGTTAAGGTTCCGTAGCTGATATGAATTTATCTACAGATCGCTCAGTTAAATGATATTTCGGCAGTAAATTAAATTCATCAATCAGTTAGTTTTGTAAGTCTTCCAAAATGATGCTCACCTCATTAGTTTTAGTTCTTTCTGAGAAAATTCGGGAAATAGGTAACAACTACGTACTCTTTTCTTTACAGTCACTTTGACAGATGGCGGACCTTGTTTGTATAAATTATTGGTAATCACAAAAATATTTAGTGGGTGAAATAAACCACTTTCGGAAAAGTCATTAATGAGACCTTCAAACCGAGTTATAGTTTCAGTGAAACGAAGGTTAACTGGGAATCTGTTCCACATGTTTGAGTAGCAAATTACGAAAAAAATTTTGTCGTAAATTTGTGTAGGTTCTCAGAATCGCTAGGATATTTTTATTATTGCGTAGGTTGTGGGACGATATGATGAAGTATGAAGAGGTGGATGCCGAAGAGTAAGAAATGCCGTTTTATAAGCCGGTAGATCCCGTTCACCGTATTATAAGAGAGAACACATTTCATTGGTGAAAAGGAGAAAGAGTAATGAGCAAGTGATATTTCCCCGTATAACCTCACTGGTTACATTCACACGTTTAGAGTAGCAAGATCTAAAGCGGGCAATTCGGCTACGTTCTACTAAAAAATATTTGAGCCAAGATAAAAGGGGATTCCGTATGCTAGATGAAGAAAGTTTGATAAAAATGTATGTGTTACTGTCAAATGCCTTACTAAAATGGAAGTACAAAATTATCACTGGCTTACCATCATATTTTCTCTGAGTAATTTGGTCAGAAAATTTCAAGTGTGATGTGGAGAATATGTGTTTAGTCATCAACTCATATAGAGACGGTCTAATCAGACTAGCCGAATGCTAGAACAATAGTAAGTGTTTGTGGATGATATTTCCCACGATTCTTGATAGCACCTATAGTAAGCAATATCTCTTTATTTACAGGGCGCGCTTTTTGAACAGGAAATTTAGTTTGGTAGATCACTTTTTTAGTTTCGCCCAATTTAATAGTTAACTGTGGTTTCGCCTCAGCTTACTATTGCTTTTTTTCTAGTTTTTCACGTAAAGGCTGGTTCATTTTATCTCATCCGTTTTATACATTTTTCTCGTCTTAATGTGCTTTTTAGTGTATTTTTAATGGTCTTAAGCTTTCGATACTATCTTCAACACAGTTTACGTCAATACAGTCATGAAAAATTCATGCAAACGACCTGGATGCCGCTTTGCTGTTACATCTGGCATGCAGTGCGACAACTGCATAGGTTGGTTCGACGAAACGTGCACAGATTACACGTCAACTGCTTACAATAGACTCAGCAAGTCGGATCATATGTGGGTATGTGCTATGTGCAGCACGGATGCTGTAGTATTTCTGAGTAAAATCATTGTCCTATTGACAGGCCTGCAGAATAAATTGTCGGCAAACTTGGAAAAAGACAGCCATAAAACGAGTAATGAAAACAAGAATAGGGATGTCGATAGGTCTACAATCGATAGAGCATGCACTAGCTCTAATGATGACATGATGAAACTCAGCACAATCATTACGTCGACGGTAATAGACTCCCGAAGTAAACTCGTGTCTCCCAGTTCAGGGTCTTTAAATGCAACAGTGGATCCCAAAAACTCAGCAGATCATTGCGCCTACGTTAACAGAGCTAAAAAGGACCAGGCGTCACCGTACAAGCTGAACATCCCTAGTGTTGTACGGACATCAACTGGTGGTTTGATCGCCAAGTCTACCCCCAAAAACGTCTGCCCGGTTATCAAAAAGCCTAGGATTCAGAAACGTGCTTCGACTTCCAAACAATAAGGTGATGAACCTGAACGCACCGGAAAACCTGGGAAAACAATAACCTTCCGTGATGACTCTCTCATAATCATGAACCTCAAAGACAACCCTGAACTTCCTCTCAATTTGCAGGACAAAAATGACAGGATGCTCTAAGTGAACTGAATCAAAATCCTGAACTTTTTAGAATAGAGTCTTTGATGGTCACACGGCTCACTCGAGGAAGGGAATCTAAGCATGAAAATCACCCTAGACTATTCGTGTAATATTCAAGAATGCTACCGAAGTAGAGGATGTCCTGCTAGCTAGTCATCTACTGAAATCCGATGGGAACGTAAGAATACTGTCCGACACACCATATTTTGAGCGCAATCTCATCCGGAACGTCCCTAAAGGTGTACCGGAAAGCATGGGCCCTGGTCAGGCAAACTTTGACATTCGAGAATGGAAATTCATCAAACAGTTCTTGAGGCTCAAAAACATACTGACTCATCATGTGACGAGACTAACCAAGAAGGACATGCATCCTAGACCCCGACTAATGAGAATAACTTTCCCATCCTCCCATGTGCCGGCTGCAGCTCTGGAAGCATTCCGTGCCAACAGACGCCGGTTGCTAACTGAAATTCAGATGAACCCGGACAGGCCGTATGACGCCAGGATGAAGCACAAAGGCATGTTGGAGCCAACCATTCCACTTGTGGACTGTCTTGATAATAAAAAACCGTGCAAAGGACATAGCGTACCAACTCGGCAAAGCTTATATAGGTAGGCTACCTGTCCATTCACGCAGGGCTCACGCAGACAAACAGGAAGAAGCTCATGCTTTGAAAGCATTAACTCCTTATACATGAACGCTGCGAGTCTACCAAATAAAACGGATGAGCTACGTGAACTTAGCAATGCTAATAATGTTCATCCGATAGAAATATCTGAAACTTGGATATCTTCTCAGTTTTTGGACCAGGAGCTAGCAGTACCTGGGATGTCTCTGTTTCTCAACGACAGAAAAACAGGAATTAGGGGTGGAGTAACCGTATACATACGATCTTACTTGGAGGTACACCAAGTTCTCACCAATGAGTTTAACAATATTGACGAATTCATATGGCGCTCTGTGAGATTGTCTACCACTTTGAGGTGCCTAGTCGGAATCATAAATAGGAAACTCACTGCCGACATTGAGTATGACAGTCGTATGCTAGAGGAACTATCCCGCTTCACGCGTCTCGGTTTCACTCATATCCTGATTCTAGGGGACTTCAATCTCTCTAGAGTCAATTTCGCGGAACATACGTATATTGGAGGTGAAAATTCAATCGAATCTCGGTTCTTCAACTTCATGAGGATCTGGAATTATATGAAAATGTGAAGTCGGCTACTCGTTGGAGGAACAGTCAGACACCGTCGCGCTTAGACTGTGATTTTACAAACGAAGAATTCCTAGTTGACACTCTCTCAATTCTGGCTCCCGTGGGGAAAAGCGATCATGCCGTTATAGCCTTCAGTTTTGTCAGCAAAACTATGCTAAGATATCCCAGCAACAACAGGCGCTAGAATTTCAAACTCTCTTATGTGCTACAAAGCAGTCAGTCCCTCAAACGGTCCCCAAAAGCCACAAGCAACCTACAACCATCAAGAACCGCACCCTTCGTTTGTTAAGCCGCAAAAGACACTGTTGGGCAGAATACAAACGTACCGACAACAACGGAGAGTACAGGCAATACAAGCATATAAGTAACATATGCACGAAGGCTATAAGAGAAGAAAGGCTTCAGTACCAGATAAAGCTTATCGATAAATTTGTTTCCAATTCGAAAAGCTTATTCCGTTATGAAGCCTCTGTTCGTCAAGCCGAAACTGGAGTTTCTCAGCTGCTAAGTCCTAACGGCCCGACAGATAATGACGGTGACGCCGCTAACCTTCTGGCTGAGCAATACTCCCGGACATTTCAGCCGACCCACGTCAACTGTATTAATGACAGCTTCATCCGCAACTGCACAGGACTTTCCGTAGTGAACCTGAACGCTGACTTGGTTTTCCGAAAACTACAGCACCCAAGAACAGACAATTCTCTTGGCCCAGATATGGTCCATTCTGCTATACTGAAGGAATCAGCTTCAATCCTGGCAACACCGCTTAACGTGATGTCCTCATGCTC